GATTTTGACCTTAGGCTTAGTCGTGACACCAGATTAAGTTCACTACACGTTGCCCACGTACAGTGACACAACAACAAGTGGCAAAGTGACATTGAGGATGAGAACAGACACATAGGAGGGTGTCCAGCAAACAAAACAGAGCAAACGTGAACAAGATCCTAATGAATACACATCAATAACTGTAACAGGATCAAACAGGTGCTGAAATCCTGGTGTGTAAAACAATTCTGCAGCCAGGGATTACTCTGTATAGGCTTGTGTGATTTATACACTGAACCCTAACACTAGGGGAGGAAAAGATAGCATATCTTGAATTAATACCATCATGATGACGTTTCCTCAGAGGAAGTATAACAGAGACAAATTGGCATGTAAAGCATGTTAAAACTGAACTTCCATTCCCTCGCTAGTTATTAGAGCTCTCAGGGAAAGAGCAGTAGTTCAGATGTGAAACAATAAATGAGCTGAATTTCTCTGGGAACAGTTTAAAGAAAATATTTTGCTGTATATATATAAATAAAACAACAACAACAATTGTTGGTTACGTATTGTAACCCCAGATTCTATGAGTATAGGCATAGCCCTTTAAGACTGTCGCTAGTGGGTTTATCCCTAGGCACTCAACGCAGCACTAAAAACTTTAATCCACACCCACCTGCTGTGTGTGGGCCTCACCCCTGGTCCATATAAATTACGGTGAGACCGGGTAATCGGCTCCCAAATAGCTTTTTTCCTCAACCTTTTAGGAACCAGTGAGGCCCAGAGCTTAAAGGGCTAGGCCTATACTCATAGAATCTGGGGTTACAGTACGTAACCAATGTTCTATTTCGTATAGGCTTCGCCCTTTAAGACTGCCGCTAGTAGGCTAAAGACGCAGCAGGATGTAGTCTATGCCTCACTGGGTCCATTCAGACACAACATGAAGCACCTGCTTGCACAACAAAAACATTTCATCACTCAGCCTTCTGTGTGCGTAATTACGCTGCAGGGTTTGACACGGCGGAGCTGAGCTGATAGAGCTTCGGCTCTCGGCTGTGATAAACTGCTCTCATTGTAGTTGAATTTAGCTCCACTTCCAGATAAACAATCATCTGTCACAGACCAACTGAAGTTTTTCCCAGTTTATAGAAACCCAAGGATTAGCAGGTGAAACACTAGCATTTTGGTCTGTGCGACAGCTTTCTAACTGGACCGAGCTAATAAGAGCAGATCGTCCAGATAAAATGATTTCTCGTTCCTGCCATGTGTAATGACTGCATAGCCATCTCCACACATTTTGAGAACATACGTGGGGTGTTTCAAAATGATGGAAATGTGAAAATATGCACTCTTCAGATCTATGGAGGTGAAAACCAGTCGTTATGGTGAAGTTCTCCAGCAGCTGTTTGTCAGCATGTGGAATTGTCTCCCCATGATCGAATTGCTGAACATGAACAGGTCAAGAATGGATCTCATCCCTCCGGTTTTTTATCAGAACCAGGAAGTAATGGGAGGAAAAAAAAAAGTATTTTCCTCTCCGTTGGGAACTCTGGAAATCAGGTTTTTCGTCAGAAATTCCTGAACTTCTGACTGGAGAGACGACCTCTGTTCTGGAGAAGACAGAACCGTCTCTATAATCCCTCTGAACGGTGGGGGTTGAGCTGCGAACTGCAGCGTGTAACCCCTTCTGATCAGATGGTCTATCCATCTGTCCAGGAAACACACTCACTGCCACTCTGAGTAGCGCTTGGAGAGCAGGCACGCATTTGTGTTGTGTCATGTTTCTCATGAACGTCAACCAGACTAAAAAATCCTTACTGCCATCACTGACTCCGGAGATTCTCCAGGGGAGCCCAATGGGGGCTCCAACAGCAAAAAGGGCTGTATGTGTGCCTCTGTGCTGGGCCCAGGCTGTGGTCTCACATAGAGCTGATGTGAGCTGGCGCTAACTGAGGAGGCATGAGTGCTTTCTGAGTGAGATGCCGTTTCGGTGAAGGCTGCAGCTGTCATGGAGAAACATGTTTACTCCCACTGCGCTGTGACTAGGCAGAAAACAGCAGACATTAAAAATGGGGTCTGGCTGAAAACAAGGGATTTTACCAGACTCGGTCCACTGAAAAAACATCATTTTAGCTGATGTGGCAGATGAGTGCTTTGTGATATTCACTGAACTGCGGTGCCATTTAAAAAGCTGTTTAGAGGTTACTGTCTCATTCTGTGTGGGGAATGTGTGAAGAGAGGCATCTGTGAGCTCAGCTGATCTGACAGTCTCAGATGAAACTTTACTTTCAGAGGTGTTTCTGTTTTATATCAAAAGATACATAGTCAAAAAACGCATACCTTCCCCTCAAGGATCTGTTACCTGGTGGAGGGGGCCGGTGGAGGAGCAGGGCATGAAGTCGCTGCTGCAGCTGTGGAGTGCCTCTGGTGCTGTTGCTGGCCAAGGCGGTCCCTCCAGCGGCCGGAGGGGCAGATGGACTGTGACGTCACCAGATGGTGTACAGTCTCTGAGACCTCCTCGGACCTCTGCGATTTCTCAAGGATGGTCCTGAAGTTGGCCCTGAACAGCGCCTCTGGGGTTATGGGGCCCTCCAGCAGGTCTTTCTGCAGCCTCTCGGACAAGGATGGTGAGAGGCAGAGCCAAGTGGTCCTCTGGATCATGGTCATCCAGGCGGCAATGTGGGACAGGCAGATCGCAGAGATGGCACATGTTTAAGATGACATCAGCAGCTTTAGAGAGAGAGTTCTTTGTCTCCTCCAGCAGGTCTGCTTCTTCCAGCCTCTTAGAGATGCTGTAGGCCAGCATGGTGACATTGTTGTTCGCTGCGGCCATCTGGAATGAGCACTGGTGAGCTTGGTTGGAGACCTTGTCACCATCTGGTCATGCTTCCTTGGAGGGACAGGTTGCTGGTCCATCCTGGAAGCTTTTGCCCCAAGTGTCACCGCCAGGCTTGGCTCCACGGGGGATGACCGAGGGAAAAACACTGATCGGTAAAACCCTCGACTCTGGAGATAGAATAGAATAGAATAGAATAGAATAGAATTCAACTTTATAATCATTGCACATGTCACAGGTACAAAGCAACGAAATGCAGTTTGCATCTATCCAGAAGTGCTTAGCAAGAAAAATAAATTGGTAGATGTATATAGTACAATATACAGTAAGTTGCTTTGAATATGCTATAGGTATAAATATATACAGGTTGTGAGTGTACAGACTATGAACAGGTTATAATATGAAGGGGTATAAACAGCTATATAAAAGAAAAAAATATATATAAGTATGTGAGTACTTATGAACAGTAGATAGTATATTATGTGTACAGTTTGTACAGTAGTGGGCTAACGGATGAAAGTGCAGGTGGTGGTGTTACAGTCCATGTGCTGTTGTTGTGTGTATGAGGATACAGACCATTGTTGTTATTCAGATGTCAGGAGGCAGAGTTAAGGAGTGTGACAGCTGTGGGGAAGAAGCTGTTCTGGTACATGGAGGATGTACATGGAGATGGAGGCAAAGGTGGAGATGGATGTCTTCAACTTGTCCAGCCCAGCTGCAGCCTCGTTGCAGTGTGACGTCACATCTGGACAGCGAGGCCAGATAGGGTCAGGGCGACGAGCCAGAGCAGAGCCAACCTTGCCACCAGATCATCCGATCAGGGTGGAAGGAGGCGAGAGACGGAAAGTCCCTTGTGTTAGCATCCTCCTGGATTACGCCGGTCAGCTCCGAGAGGAGGGCGCCGATGGCTGGGAGCGGTGTGGTCGCCGACATGGGAAGATCCGAGGTGGCTGAACATCCGCTCGGCCACTCATCTTCCGTCACTACGCTCTCCAGGAGAGAGGGGGCAGCTCCGCATCGCCTTTGTAGGAGGAATCATTTGATTCACTTCGTGACTGCATCAAAGAAGGCGGTGGCGTCATCCCGCGCATAGCATCCCGCCACAGAAAAAAACACTCAGTGGAGCTGCTGTCAACAACGCTTTTTTCGAGGGAATCATCCAATTTACCTTGAGAAAAAAAACGTTAGAAAAGGCGGTGGCGTTGTCCAGCGAGTAGCGGCCCTCCACGGAAAAACATTCAGCGGGGCCGCTGCTAACATCGCCCTTTTCAAAGAAATCATTCTATTACTGCGAGGAAAAAACACGTTAGAAAAGGCAGTGGCATCGTACAGCGAGTAGCGGCCATCCATGGAAAAGCACTCCTTGGCGTTTACCTTGAACAAGGCTACTCGTCTGCTTCTCCTCGGGGAGGAAGAGCTCACCGGGATGGCAGGGGGTTGGCATGGCGGAGACCCAGTAATCCTTAGCAAAGGTTGTGCCAGTCAAATCTGGACAACTTTTCCTTCTTCGTTCTTCTGACAGTGCTAGCTAGTTGGCTGAAGAAAAAATGGGAGCCGATTACCCAGTCTCGCTGTAATTTATCTGGACCGGGGGTGAGGCCCACACACAACAGGTGGGCATGGACTAAAGTTTTCAG